ACAGCTGGACATTTCTGAGAGTTAATTCAGATGAATGTAGAAAAGAGAATGAGAAGGAGTTTTTCTTGCTACTTTTCTATTAAGAATATGAACATGTCATGCAGTGTTCAATGGGGAAATTTTGTCAGGATAGAAGCAAAACCTACTCTTTTTCAATTTCCAAATTACAACAAATGTGCACAGTCTGTAACACACAAGTTCGCAGATTATTGTCCTATCGGAAAGAATTTTCTGTTAGCCCCTCTGACCTACACCATTGGCAGGGGAGACAAAGTCCAAAGCATAGTATAAAACAGAATTTTTTAGGGATATTTTCAATCTTTTTCTGATGACTCAAACAGTACAAGTCCTGAGTTAAAATAATTATCTCAAAATCAAATCCAAAAAGCAAAAAACAGAGCACAGATAAAAGAATAACAATATAAGGTCCTACTTTTCTCCATCTTGCTTCCATGTTGAAAATACAAGCTCTAACTAAAAGTTGGAATAATTATCTCCTGCCATAACCCAATCAAAATAATTATCATCAAATCAAAAGATAATATAACAATAATTATCAGTTGACTGTTTTTACTAATTGTTAATTCTCAGGGAATTTGCTGCAGGGAATTTTTTTTTTATCAACAGATACCAAATGATCAATTATCAAGGAATCTAATAAAATACCGGAAACTTTTTCTGTTCTTTCCAGAATTTGATTTTTTTCTCATTATACTTGATTAGAATCAAAAAGCCCTCACAAAATACTGTTTTTCTAGTTAGTTCTGGTGCTTCGAATTATTTTCTCCATTCATACTCGTACTGTTTTGTGATTATACTTGATTGGAATTTTTTACAATTTCATGTGGATGTATAAAAAATTCCACAATAAATTTTTCTCGCATTTTTGTCTGGCTAGTCCTGGTGCCTCAAAATCAATTTTCCATTCATTAATACAACTTCATTAAAGTAATAATTTCCGATATATTCCGTTCAGCTAGCTCTGGTACTAGAAATTCATTTCCGAATCTATAATGAGTTATTGCCTAATAGTAAAATAACATGGAATAGATTTTCTTTTATTACCGATCTCCAATAATGAGTTTATTTTATTATTATTCTAAACTGGTTTCCAGTCTTTATTACTCCCTACTATGTTCTTATTCCATTGTAATAATGACTGAATATATTCAATGAATATCGACGCTCAACGACAAGTTGACAGCGCAAACTAGGAAAGCCATTGTGACCTAACTCCTGTTCTGAAAATGCATCAAATAATTAGTAATAATCTTGAAATGCTCAAGGTAATAAAACTAAAAAACTAATCTGTCTTAAATTCATAAAGCCTTCAGATGTACCATACAGTTTAAAATCAAATCTAGAATTATATCACATTGAATCCAGGCTCCTGTTCTGAAAGTGCACCTAATAATTAGTAATATATCAAACTAATAATCTACCTAACTCAAATCTAACAAATAAATAATGATAAAGGTTTCAGACGAGTTTTGATACAAAAAAAAAGAATTGCATTTAACATGCATTAATGTCAAAATATATAGATGTCTAATCTTTCAAGAAGAATGTTTTACTGCAGAAAAAACAGAATGATATCTTTTCTCTTGGCAAGCAACATCAAAACATTCTGGTTTTTATGTGTGCATCAAGTGAGTGATATATAAATGATAATGGCATCTCAACTGAAGTAAAAATACCAATCTTGGAATGGCATCAAGGGTTTCAGAGATATTTGTGATAGGGGTTGAAAGACAAACACCATACTCGACTGAAATTAGAATACAAATCTTGGAATGGCATTAAGTGTTTCAGAGAGATCTTAAGGAAAACATGTTCATATATACAAAACAAACTGTATAGGAAGCATGCTGATTGGCTGGTGTGAACATTTAGATCTCCAATGTGAGGTTTTTCATGCTAAAGTGAAATATAATACAGTCAATATGAGTAACAGTTTCGGATGTGTTGATGAGATGACGAAAACTAAATCTAATTATCAAAGCCATTCTACAAGATTTTCCTTGATTGACCAGGCAAGGTCATTATTAGCAATCAGGAATTCTTGGATTACCAGGCAATTGTGGAATTACTGTCAATTTGTTTCAATCATAATAACAGGTCTATTAGCAATTATCACTTATTGATTCTTATATCCTAACAATTGTGTTTCAGAGATACCGATTTCATCAATTTGCACTGTTGCAATTTTCTGTCTAAAACATCACTATTGCAAAGGCTATTAGATATCATTAACAGCTTTTGTGAAAGTTATGTCATAAAACTCTTAGTTTAATTGGAAGACCCTAAGACATGACAAAATAGATCCAAATCAGTGTCACGATACACAAAATATCTTAGAAAAACCTCTTGATATTCCCTTCAAGATGTATACTTTTTGTGACAGAAAGCAGAAACCAATTTTCACATAGTTAGACAAGCATAAATCCTAGCCTGTCAATGACCAATAATAAAAACTCAATAAACGTGTAAACGATACAGTCAACATGTAAACATGATCCTAAACTAATTAACCTTCTAATAAATCTGTTTACAATTCAGTCAGCAAGTTCAAACACTGTTTATAAACTAGATTATTGTGAGTTTTATGGCTCACTTGTTATTGTTATAAAAGAGTTGGTCATTCAAACTATAAAACTTCCTATCTTGTTACAACATCTCAGGATTATTTTCTATATATCAAATTTCATAGCCAAGATTTACAAATGAAGAACTCACTTCCTGGGAAATAAGTGACTCAAACAGCAAATTTGGGGACAAATTTAACTATGAAATTATATTTTTGAATCAAAAAATAGATATAACTTTGCACTGCACGTATAACTAAAGAGATAAAAATTGGAGAATGCAGGAACTTTACCCTCATTTTGGACTTGAATGTTTAAGGCTCAAAACCAGAAACCACTGCTTAAGGCAAGCAATTAAACGTGAAAATAACACTGAGTGCACCATAAAGTTGAAAAAGTCAAAGCTTTTAACAATATTCATGATTTGACCATCACCTAAGGCCAGCATTGTAACAGTTCAAAGATGAAATGAACTGCAACTTAGGTCAGACTTTTAAAATTATTATAAGCTAACTTGATTTGACCACTGCTTAGTGCAAGCAATGTGAAACATAAATCTATCCCTGAGTGGATCATGAAGTTCAACAAGGACAAGTTTATGTTTGTTTATATTCTATATCAATCTATAAACTGTCAATATTGAGTATCAGAGTTAAACAGATAAACAAACAGAGATACATAATCTCTTTATAAACCCTCCCTCTCTCTGTTTGATTTCAAGATTGATGTAAGGTCTGGGTGTGCTATTATACGTCAAATTGTCGGAAGTAAGCTTCCATAGGAAATGTTTTGGGACTGTACTTGGTATAAAAACATTGCCTGGCATTCTGTGAATGTTTAAGACATTAGTGGATAGAGCATTTTACCCCACAAGAAAGAAACAACCCTAATTTATAAGGATAACAACTTAGATCCTGTCTACCAGCTGGTTCTTAGCTAAACTGCTTGGCAATTATCTTTCTGGGTTATCTGTGAGATTATCCATTACAGCTGAGTCAATTGAGAACTGATACAGATCGTTTTGATTTCTTTTTCTCGAAGTCTCAATCAGGTAATTACAGAAAGATAGCAATTGGTTACTTGTCAACATTCAAAGAGCACTCTTACAGACGATATATTTAACAGAAGACCATAGCATGCTTCAAACACATACTTCTGGTACAAAATATCAAGTCAGGACAATAAGAATTAGGAAATGGGGATAACCCAATTTCAAATACAAGGCCTTTGAGCAAAAATTCATGTTCTATTATTCCATGGTGTAAGCAATACTACATGTTTGGTGAAAGAAGATCAATGACACATTTATGACCTCATATACATAAAAAAAATAAACTCATGATCGAATCGAGGACATAACAATGATAATATCTATGACAAAATCTCAAAATCTTATCACACAATACATCATATTTATTTTAAATTCTCTAAAATAAACCTTTGATCTGAGCAGTTAGCCACACGAACGGAAATCATTAGCTGACAGAAGGAAGTGAAATAGACATTCCTACTTGAGAGAGTGCCAACTTGTCTGACAGAGAAGTGAGACAAAAATATAAAGTTTCCCCCTCTGACTCATCTCACTCTTCATCTGTCATTTTGACACATTCATCAAATTTTGATTTTTGAAAGGAAATCAAAAGATCAAAGCTATTATTAATAATGACGTAATTTCACAAATTACACACCTTTTGGGATAATTAATCAATCATTGTAACGATCACTTCATTAATTAAACAAAAATCGAACAATATTTGCCAAAGACACAAACATAAACATTACAAACCTGATAATAGGAGGTACCACTTTCAGCCGCCATCTTGGATTTTAAGTTTGCAACTTCACGAAATTTGTCGCCGTTTTTTTTTAAGTCTGTGAACTGAATTAATTCATCTGTAACTAAACCAAAGACATCGTCTTCTTATGTAACTAAATCCAAAAGTCTGAAGGGCTAAATATCCGTTAGTAACGGATGAATAAACTTTATTTGACCGCGATCGGCTGACCTACACTCCGCTGACATTAGAAAGATCACGTGAGAGTACTGCACAAATCGGAACGCGCGTAACATTTGAGCTGAGCAGACGTTAAACATCTCAAAACAACACATTTCATTGGTTGTTGTGGAATTCAGAGGCTAGTTAAAAAATATCACCGCAAAATGAAAACGAAAAAACTTGAACTATGTTAGTTTTAAACATTTTTGAGCTTACAATGCGAGGGAAAATGAAAATGAAAGTAATTTTGTCCATTAAAACTTTTCCAGGAATTTCAGCACAACAAAATGAACATAATTCATACATATTCCATTTTTCCATTCGAGATATGTGAGTAGAAAATCACAAATTTTAGAAAACCAAAACCGCGGGAAAGTGTTGTTTACATTTTATGAGATTTTCACCGATTTTTTCATCTTCTGAACTTTACGATCCAATGACAGTCTAATATTTTCGCAATGTGTGGTCGAACGGCTTGGTAGGCATCGTTTAAAACTTGTACACATTTTCAGGGATTCCTGAATTTGGCTCGGAAGGAAGGGCAAGGGTCAACATTTTTTCCGACATTCTTTCACACGTCACTCTCTTTAGAAAGGGCGTGACCTTATTTCATTACGTCATGATGTAAATAGTCAACATTGACACGTGCTTTCAATTATTGACTTAATAACGCACGTGTTATACTCCCCAAATGTAACCATTTTATCTCATACTCATCCCTTTATAATTCACCATCAAATGCATCTTTTTGCTTGATTATGATGGCCTTATTTGTTAGTGACTATTATCAAATCTATAAATCTAAAATGTGCCATGTTATGTATCTGACACCCCTCAACTCTATGTTGAACACGCACATTTCCAATCAAATTTATACTAATGGTTGAGTACATTCCCGATCTTTTTGGCTGACAATTGCCTCTTTTCTAAAAAAATGTATTGCTTTGTGTCTAACTTAAGTCAGTGCTTTCATGGCTCAATAAAAACAGTTAAACGGTCGGTTGTTTGGTAGATGACATATTAAGCTCTGCTTCCTGATATTGCAGACTATATTAGGTTTATTAGTTTAAAGACATTTTGAATTATAATTTATTCCAGTGCCCTAGCACCTGATGATATATGTAAAGCTACAAGATATAACAGTAGAAATGGTGGAAGACAGAAACCAGCATGGAAAGATGCTCCAGGAGGCAAAAAGTATTATCCTTCACACAATATTGCTCCTGCCTCTCACACGTAAGGAAAGATAACTTCTATTTGTTCACTTTAAAGTGTATGTCAGACCACAAGGGATTGTCTGTTGCTTGGTCCAATCTATCTTATGAAAAATACAGCATGACATTTCACACAGAAGGAAAGGTAACTGCTAAAGTTCTAGTCTTTTATATGTGTCAGACCACAGAGGATTATGTTCCTTAGACAGTCAATCACTCATAGTACAGCAAAGGTTTTATTTATGTCTTGTTTTTCCAGACCAGTAATGTTATCAAGTAGACACTATCGACCAGGAGAAATAGAAGAAGGGGTAGAAAGAGTTATACAGCCTATGAAATGGGGTTTAGTCCCGTCTTGGCATAAAGGAGACCCGTATAAATTAGAGTATGAGACTAACAACTGTCGTTCCGAGGGCATGCTAACTAAACGAACGTATAAAGTTCCTCTAGAGAAGGGGCAGAGATGCGTCATATTAGCTGAGGGGTAAGAAAATATATATCCGGACTTGATGGACATTTTGCAATTAGTGAAGTCATCAAACACTAAGTTTCAGTTGAAGTGCAGGAACCACAGACATCTGATGGAAAATTAGAATGGTGCAAATTGATGCTATCAGTCTTCGATACACAAAACCCCTTTACTTTCCCTTTAAGTTATAAATGGTATAAAGAAATATAACTGAGCAAGATTAACTGTCCATTTAGATTACTTATTGGTTTAATATTTATCTTTCAGATTTTTTGAGTGGAAAAGATCAGAAAAGAACAAACAACCATATTTTATCTATTTTCCTAAAGATAAGTTTTCAGATAGCAAGGATGTCAAAAACATTAAAACAGAAATAAAACAAGAATTGGAAGAGGATAAATTGAAAGTAGAAAATATGAAAACAGAAGTGAAGCAGGAATTTGACCAAGATAAAGTGAAAGTGGAAAATATTAAACAAGAATTTGACGAAGATAACATTAAAACTGAAAGAAATATAAAACAAGAAGTAGATGATGAAAAAAATGATATTAAACAGGAACATGAGAATGTTAGTATAGTCAAAATAGAGCCAAATTCATCCTCAGATAGTTCAGAAATTAAAAATGAAAATGGTGATTCTACAAAATCAGATACAGATTTTTGCTCTGAAGATGAAGGTGGGTTTCTTGAAGCAATTAGTGTGGTTAGCTAGACAGGGCATTTTGACCATTTGAAACACTTGGTGACTCTCCAAGACTAGGCTTGTCAACTGGACATCACTTCCAGAGAGTCCACATAGCTAACAATGTTTATTTGGTATACAGGTTTGACAATTCTGCTTTCAGAGAGTTCACATAGCTAATAATGTTTATTGAGTATAAAGAAGTGTCAACTTGATATTGCAATATCGCCTTCAGAGAGTCCACAAATAATTTTCAATATCTATTTCAGAATGGAAGGGAAATAAATTGTTAACTATGGCTGGTGTTTTTGAAATTTGGAAACCACCCGATGTAAGTTTAAAGGTGCATTCTTCGAAATCACAAATGACCTGTCTAATCTACTCTTATTAAATAATATATTAACTAAAATGTGTATCATTCAAATGTGAGAATAGCGGTGCACAGATGTCTGTAGGTCTATAGGTCATGCAATGCAAAAGCAACTATCGCAAAGGCTCTTAGATATTGTTAGCAGATTCTGTGATGTCAATAAACATATTAGTACAAGGCTATCAGCTATCTAAATTTAGGAAACCTCTTTACAATCCCTTTAATATAAGAGACTAATATTTTGTAGGGTTCTGATGAAATTTATTCCTACAGTATTATCACAGTAGATTCCTCTCCTGCTATGGCCTGGATACATCATAGAATGCCTGTAAGTTACATTCCCCCCATCCTCTGCCACCCTACCCCTTAATCTACCCCCCAGATAATGGTACTGGATACGTCCTGTTATGGCTTGTAACAAATACCCCTTCCCTTATTCTCCCTCAAACAATCCTACAGTATTGTTACCATGGATACATGAATGCCTGTAGCATCCCCCCCACCCCTATCAAATGATGATCTATATAATATAATCACTGTTTGTTTTACAGGCGATATTGTCTACAGATGAAGAAATTAATGAGTGGTTAGATTTTGGTAATGTTCCTTTAAAGAAGGTAAGCTTGAACTAGAAAACTAGAATTTTTTTAGATCATAACTTTCTGCTCTTAAAGGAGGAAAAACCGCAAGTATAATGCAGAGTTTGGAATTGCATGTTATTTATTGCTGCTGTCCTTGCATGTAAACAGAATCTATTTCAGTCATTGACCTTATTCATTTTATGGGTTTATTTCCTCGTCATCTCATGAGTACACACAAGTTTGGAAACGATCAACATGTTGATAGAATTATTAAATGCAGCATTACTCCATGTAGGTGTGGATTGTAGAATGTAAAACTCAATTTCACTTCATTGTAGGCATGTAAGCTAATCAGACCAACTGAGAGTGTCACAATGCATCCTGTATCATCTATCGTCAATAATTCTAGAAATAAATCACCTGATTGTGTACTGCAGATAGACCCTCAGTAAGTCATCTTAGTAAACTGTATGTTCAGGGACACACATAGCTTCTTTTACCACTTCAATCCCCTGTCAAACACTTAGTATCATGTAAAAGAGAATCTAAATGGTTTTAAAAATCTTTGTTTCCATATGAAGGACTTTTGTGTGTGGTCCTGGAATTCTGAGACCAGATTTTGATGGCACAATTGCCCTTTCACTTGCCTACAGTGACTTTCCCAATATGTTCTTGTTGAAAGTTCCTGGCATGCAGATTGAGTGATTTTTTTTTATCTATTTTCAGGAAACCCAAGAAATCTGCCAGCAGTAATTTTATGATGAGTTGGTTGGGAAAGAAAACAGAAAATAAATCTAACGAGGAACCATCTTCAAAACGACAGAAAACTAATTAATGGGGGACGACAATTTAGAAAATGGTTAACTATTTTCTATTAACTTTCAGTAAAGATTCATCTTTTTTGTGACAGAAATTTTTTACCAAATTTATTACAATTTATTCAATAATTCTGCAGGTTTCAGAAATAATACTTTGTTTTGTTAGTTATAGTTCATAGTATAACAGTAACCATTTTATTAAAGATATATTTTGTTAATGTTTTATTTTAATTTGTGTTCAGCTCAGGAATAAGAATGTTATCATTGAAAGAGGAAGATGAGTCTAATCAAACACAACGAAACTAGTCACTGATAATCAGGGATGACAGGTCGCATAGCCAATCTTTATCTCTTATAAGAAAACAAAAACATAAAGCAAATATCTTGGTCAGCTTTAACTTATATACCATATACAAATTTTCATTTCATGAGAAACTTGAACCAATATAAGAGCAGCTTAGCTTCAGAGAGTCCACACAGCGTCAATCCTATTAATTTTGCCCAGAATGAAATCAGCCGCTGGCTGCCGTATTGATTACTGGTGCACGGTTATCTTGTCAATCAAACAGTCCATATAGCTTATAAAAAAACTTATTCCACATACAAATATAAATTTAATATTTTACTTGGTTCCATCATCTTTCGACTGATTCTTGTGGTTTCTGTTTTAAAATTAAATTTTTCAATTCATCCCATTTATCATCTGCTAGAGATCTTCTTAAACTTTCAAACAACTTGAAATAATGGTGGAAATTATGTCTGAAAATAAAATTAAAGTAAATATATAAATAATGTAAATTCCACAAAAATATGGTATCAAATATTCTAATTATCAAAATTTGAAAAGCAAAGATCCACTTTAGTCAACTAATGAAATATTGATATCATTTTCACTTAAGCAATATCAAGGCTACCTATAGAGGAAAATCAAAGCTACTTACATTTGTAACAAGATTCTAGCTAGTAGTTCAGTGGTGTTTAATAGATGATGGATGTACGATCGGCTATAGTTGCGACAACAATAACATTCACAGTCTTTTAAAACTGGACCTAAATCGTCAAAGTATCTGGAAAAAAAACAATAAATTTTACTTACATTAAAAATCATGCCCATAGTTATATAAAATATCCATTAAAATTGTAACCAATGCAATGAATGAATGGATAGATAAATGAATGAATGGATGACCAAATGAATAGATAGGTTAATGGTTTTACTTTTTCTGAGTAAGGTCTATCTCATATGAATTGGGTAGAATATTATCCTCTGTTTCTAGAGATGGTATGGTGTGGTTAAAACATAACGCAGAGAATCTTTCTGTTACAACATAGGGATATCTTACAACTTGGTTAAGGAATTGGGATTTTGAATGAAGGTATCAATTAGACTGCTATGAAAATGTACAATGGTTAATATGGGTGATACAAGATAGATTAGCTGACATCAAAAGGCATCCATTAACTGAAAGGGGTCAAGAAAGTCTGAGGTATTGTGTGCTATAGACTGTGCATATCAAAGATCCTTGTATGATCAGAGATCTAAAGAAAGTAGACTTATTAAAGCTGTTTTCCTATTTCCCTCATTGCACACTGCATGATGTTGCTCTCGTTTATTAGTCCAATATGGTACAGGCCAGTCGGCTATCAAACGCAAAAAATATGTAAATAACCAAAAAGATACGAGCTGTCAAAGATATCTAGTCCCATTTCAACACCATGTATAACTTTATCAGGGCTCCAAATACACTGCATTAATCTTGGTTTGTCTTCTGGTAGATTTTCCTAAAATAGTTAAAAAATGTCATCATTAGGACTTTAAAAAAACACAAAAAATTAATCTTGAGAATGGAGAATTTTTTATTTTTTGTTTTCTATGTTTTCAAATGTTATGTTCAACAATTTAAATGTATGAAGTTAACCCCAAGTCCAAAATCTATCTATTATGATTAAGAAAGTGTATCTGAAACTCGTGTTTTGGAGGTGAATTTACTTTGATCTTGGTTATTAACTTACCATTATTTTGTTCCATAGATCTTGATTCTCCGAGAGTTGGAATTTTTCAGATTCTGGGCCTGGGGTAAAAAATCCCTCAAACATAAAACCTGGAAAAAAATCGACCATGGTATATTCAGGTTCAACTGTCAAAACTCGAAATATATTTCAAGAATATGCTTTATTACCGGAATTTAATATATGAATAATTTCTAAAACTTTAATAAGCGACTAGAGAGGGCTGTTATTTGCTTTGTGTACATATGATTGAAGAATCAAAGCACAAATAAGCACAAAAATATTCTTCATAAACCCAACTTGATATTGTCTAGGCCATTATAAAATAATTGAAATAATATTATTATTTTTAACCTACCATCTACAGATCTTGCTGCGGTTTCTTTAGCACACCTAATTCTCTCCCTTGGATCAAACCCTCCTACAAGAGCTCCAAATATAGCTGTGTTTTTTAATCTCTGAAACAAAAAGCACCATTTTCTTTTACTCCTACCAAAACATTATCAAACTGATTGCCTTCTTCTATTTAAATTACCCTGGACCTTGCATGTATTCTAATCAATATTTATGGAGTAATTTAATAAATTCAAAACCAAAGTTCATAATCTTGACTAGACAAAATAAGTTTTCCACATTTCTTGTATATAAATTTTGAAGAGTTCACAAATTAATTGTAAACTTTAAGACAAATAAGTCTACAAATATCCCTTAGAGCCCTACCTGTGATTTTTTATGTTTGTCTAAAATATCATCTAGAAATCCCAGAGTTCTATCTACAGCTTTCCGACAGCGTTTTTTAGTTGTGTTACTATCTGTGTCCCCGTCACACAGAGCCTGGTAAAAATCAGGTTGAAACGCCTCCTGTATCTTCATAAATAACTCAGTGTCCAGCTGAAATAGAGGTTTTAATCACAATGTCATACTGATCACTTCAAAGTAAAAAATACTGTTGAAAAATGCAGAACTAAATGTGCCACAACTGCTTACTTCTCCTCATTGGATTGTTACTAATAAAAAATGGAATTATGGTTACATGGAAGCATTTTGATTGGCCAGTTTGCTAGTATCTCAGTCTCAAATTTGAGGTTTACCTGCTAAAGTGAAACATGTACAAATATTAAGACTTTCGACCGTGTTGAAACATATAAAATTCTATTTGTCAAATATGCGATACAGGGTAATTATCATACCTTGAGTTTTCCGCCCCTCCCCCAAACAGCGATTCCATGTTTATCATTAAATCCTGATTTTACCACAGTTGATGGGTCATGTAAACTGGAATATATCACAAAATCCTGAAAGAAAAAATCAAAAACAAGATCTCAGAACAGTTATTGAGGGTCACCTTAGCAGACAACTTATCACCTTTCCTATAAATACTTTCCAATAAAAAGTATCATTCAATTCAAACTGTTTTCTGAGATATTTTTCTACTTGTTTGGACCCCCTCAATAGTAACTTTTGATTTAGAAATGCTTGAAGAAAAACTAGAAGAAAGATAGTTTAAGTCACCTGCATGGATGAAAATTTCCCCACACCATGTTGAAATTTTTCAACTGTTTCATGATTTTCTGCCCTGAAAAATATAATAGCTTTATAAATAGATTTAAAGGCATGTCAGCAACAGAAGGTAAATTCTAGTTAAATCCTCTCAACTCAGATACTGTAGATACAGAAAAATCAACAGTCATGAGCTATAGTCAAACATGACTGGCAAATACAAAAGAATCAGCAGCCCTGCTTAAAGAGTTAATACTTACAGTAAATTTAAAGGCATATCAGCAACGGCAGGTACTGATTCTATTCTCTTTAAAACATCTCTAGCTACATGGGGAGCATTGCCTGAAATATAAACAAAATTCTACACAGACCTTGAAGTCTGAGAAAACAGGGACCTTTTTCACATAAAAAGTGGTTACCTGTAGTCATATACATTGACACTTTTATATTTTTACAAAACAAACACTGAAAATGCCTATGTACAAGCATGTTGATACTATCTCAGTCCCTAATACGATTTTTACCCAATACCTGTTTCAGTGAAACACAGTAGAAGTATGGAATAGTTTTAGGCAAGTTAAAAAGACCATGTTGTCAGTACAATATAACTAGTACAATAAGGTCTATGTCTCTCCTTAAACAATGACAATATTTCATCTGTATATCTGGTTCTAGGTAGAACTAGAAGTGCTCTGCTATGTTATATTACCTGCTCTAGTATACAGCATACAGAATGGTGTCTCTATCAGTCTATCAGGGTGGTTCGTGAACTCTGTTAAAACACCTTGTCTACAACCATTCTTTATATTCTTAATAACAAACCTCATCATTACACTAATACACTTTACTCTGGAAGTAGACAAGATCTATAATAAACATATCGAATAACCTTGTTAATATGTGTTGGCATTAGAAACCACAAAATTGTATGTCATTTTGGCATTGATTAATTGTGATCTAAACCCCTCTGTCGGCTCCGTAACTGTCAATGAGGCTTATGATAAGAGCAATTATGTCTTCGTATGAGATCAAATGCAATCGTCATTGACTGAATTTGTTGAGAGATTTGTGGCAATTTGTGGGACTTTTTTTTTTTACAATTTTCAAATAAAAGTCGATTTAATCATGAAGAAAACAAAGTACAATTTGTCTGGCTTACTTTCATAAAACTAACATAATCTTTCAATGGAGACAACACTCAAATTTGGACAATTCTATACAAATGCTTGTCTTCTGCTCTAGTTTCATTTTGTAAACAAACTCACGTGTTTCCGGTTAGGGAGTAGTTATTTCTCTGTGAAATAATTTTACCACAAATCTGCAAAAATAACTAAGAAAGTCACAATCAGTGCAAAATTAACAATGCAAATTTAATCAAAATTTTCAGTGCATACAATTCTAATCAAGTTGTAGCAGAAGTTAAAAATTGTTCTTTCAATAATTTCCCCATTGAAGCCTTTTGCGGTTTTCAGCATTAGAGAGCAAACAAAGGGAGTTAATAAAAGATTTATAAAATTTTATTTGTATGTTTTTTGTTAAAGAAAAGTCACTATTTCTGATAATTTTGGAACAGAATCAAGATGGTTTATATCACATTTCCCGCTGCTCTGACAGAGGAAGAAGAGCAGCTCAAACTTAAATATGCAAAACTTAGAAAAAAGGTAAGAAGGCTAGCTAATGGAACTTAACCAATTTTATCAGACCATATCACGAGAAGCCTATAGGTATAAACTCAAAAGTCAAAGGAGTTGACAATAGATGGGTGTGTTGGGGGCAAATTCTATTGTTAAAGAATTAAGATCAAGGTGTTGCCTTATGCTTATGTAAGCAAGTTTATTGGAGTACTTGACTGAACTTGTTTTATGAAATTAGTCATACTAGAATTTGCTATGCCATATTTGTTATGGACTGAATAACATTTTAATATTTGTAAATAATAATTTAATTTGTAGAAGAAGATGTTACAAGCTATGAGAACAGCTAAACCAGAACCCAAACCCGAAACAACACAACCAACTAAACGACGTAAGTTTAAAAGCTTCTTCTTTATTCAATAGCATTTTTTAATGTCTTTATAAAGTGCATGTAATCTTCCATTTCATATCAAAGGGCACAAGCCTTTTCAATTTGGTATGATACATTTATAGGATTGTACATAGAACCTAAAGGCAAATTGGTGATTTTAAATCATTTCACAAACAAACTCATATGTGAATATATTTAAGAATTAAACGTTGGTCTCACTAGCTATTGGTGTGTAAACGCAGTTGAGCATGTGACAAACTGAATAAATGACGTAGTCATTCAATATTTTTTTTATGTTAATTTCAGCATCTGAAAATGCAGAAGATGCCATGGTTCAAGCTAAGAAACTGGTACAGTCTGGGGTAAGTCTCTATAAAGTTTTTTATTTCGGTCATTTTCCTTCTGAATTTTGCCAGTTTTGTTAATGATTGGATTGAATGATATTTTCTAATGTTTTCTTTTCTTACAGGCCATCAAAATAGACACTGGTAAAAGGGAGAAACTAGGGTTTAAAAGATCTAATAACTTTGAAAAGAAAATGAAGGTAAACATCAGAAGCTAAAAGCAAATAGAATTTAAGTAGCAGTTAAAACATCTCAAGCTTCTCTTAATATAAGATCCCTCAACAGTTAGAAATTGAAAAAAAAAAGGCTGATGCCACTGTCCTGGCAAAATTTCCCTAATTAATCACTGCATGGCGTAGCAGGTCTTCTCTAGCAGAATCGTGTGCAGAAAAGTAGAATGGTTTATGGTTTATTTGTTTATATATAATCTACCAAGGACAGACAACTGTGAAGAAATTTAAAAAAAAAAATCTGTCACTGTTTCAGGATTCCACAGTTGGATTTCAACCTTTCTCAGCCACACAGGAAGAACCAGAAGACAGACAGGAGGTAAGAGTTGTTCCCCTTGACTAAGATGTGATCTGATTGGATAATAGAAGTAGACTTGGGATCATTAAGGGGATTGTAAAGAGGTTTTCTTTTATGTGTATCAGGGATACTGATATAATCAATTTGCACCATTCCAATTTTCAGTTAAAACCTAGCGTATTATGATTTTCACTATCGCAAAAGCTTTTAGATATAAGTAGCTGCATGTTTTTTTTTTACAGCCAAGTGCGCGACCACGAGGGAAAAGTTTATACGATAGTTTTGTTTCTTCAGGATCCAGTAAGTACTAATTGATTTCATAACATTTGATACAGGATCTTATTAATTTGTTAGGCTCTTTGTGCTTCAGGCTGTGCAGATTGAAGATCCCTTGACAGTTGGAAATAGAAAAAGACTAGGCACATGATTTGGTCCTTGCAAAATTTCCTTCATTGCACACTACATGGCATAGCCTGTCCTCATTAGTCCAATAAGGTGTGGAAAAGTGAGATATATAATTCTATTCATTGCATTTCAAGCCTTTTAACCCACGTATTAGAACACTTTGCCCCACCAGTTCTTTCATTTTTGATTTGAGAACAATATTCTCATCTAGTTCTTTGCCTCAGTTTGTCAATTTCCTCAATTTTCTTGTGTTTATTGACAGAATTTCGTGAAGAGCGGAGAGAAGAACGAAGAGAAAGAGATGACAGACGAGATAGAAATAATAGAGAAAGAGAACAGGACCTCCCTAAAAAGGGTAACACAATCTATGTCAATGGAAATGGTATCACAGAATCCATCCTGAAAAAGGCTTTCTCCAACATTGGCACCATTGTTAATGTTTCTATGGAAACAGACAGAAAGTAAGCTAATTTTTCATTCTGTCAGTTATGCAAGTCAAATGGGTACACATGGGCTCATTCAAATGGCTCTGTGTTACTTTTAACATCCAACCAATGCTGTCTTGGCAGAATTTCCCTTATTTCACTTTCAATGGTGTTATCAATTTGCCTAAATAGGAACATAAAAAATGTTTTCTCTGAATCTCACTGCCTTACTGAATATATTTCACATTTAGTGTACGTTCTCTTTTACAGTTGTGGTTTTGTAACTTTTGAGAAAATGGAATCTGCTGATCAAGCTATTGCTGAGGTGAGAATACTTTATAAATTCATGTTGATGGACTCCGATGAGCATATAATTATAATATATATTATTTCCCTATCAAATACAACAGAAAAATCTCATGTCTGCCAGGAGTGAGGAATTTAAGAATATTTGAGTATATAATTTTGTATGAGTTGTACAGAACTCTATGAAGAGTATTGAGGAATAGAGTTAAAGAATATTTGTATGTATTGTAGATGAACAAGATTATGATAGATAATGTAACTCTACATGTCTCAATGGCTCGACGTCAACCTGCGTTTGAAACCGTTCAAGATCAGTCGTCTAGTTCCTGGACCACTATTGGTATGTACTGTACTTAGTTGTTCTTAATCATAAGTCTAACTAACTAGCAAATTGAGATGTCTCAGATGGCACCACTCTTTGAAGGAGTCTTCTACTAACTTTAATTGCCTTGCTTGTACAGATTTGTATTTATGAATTATTAGTTGACGGCTGAGAAGGAAATAAAATGAAATGAATGGAGTTTTATGTCCTACTTTTCTGCACAGAAAGGGCAACAGAATTGTCTTAAAGGGGCTCAAAAGCTGTTTTTTACTTGTGTAAATTGAAAGAAGCCATCTTAGGTTCTGACTATACCATGTCATAGGTTCAAAAACATTTGTCACTTATTATTTCCCTTTGATTTATTTTCTATTTCTAGCTGCCAGTAATTCTCAGAAAGGAAGTGGACATAAAGACAAGCGTGATATATTATCATATGATGATGGAGATATATTTTAATATCTCAGAATTTTTTTATATTTTTACCAACACCATGTCTAAGATTATCAGTACTTTTTTTGGAGTTGATATTCCATATTTGCATGAAAATAATCAGAAAATTCAATTTGAGGAGAATTTTTCAAAATCACAAATATGGGTAATTGTTTGTTAATGTTGTAAATATGTACATAACATTTTTGTATCTTTGTTTTGTTTTTTTATTTAAGCATCAATCATTAATTCAACCCCTTCCCTATACCTCTTATCAAAGCAAAGTCCCTCCATTTCTAAAACTAGCCGCCCTGATGAGGATTGTGTATCTGAAACATGTATCGGCATTAATGGATGAGCTATAGTCAATTCCAAACCCATATAAAGTGCTATAGAAAATGATTTACTACAGACATCATAAACTTGGTGTTTCATTAATAGTGTCTGGATAATCAAGAACAATGAGGTCAAATCAAGAGTTACGTCCCTTCACAAAAACAAACCGAAATTTTATAATTTTCAAACTTTTCCTTTCAAAACCTACAGATTTGAACCGATCTTTGTGAAAACTGAAATATTTGAACTGAAGAGGGCTTACACAAAGTTAGCAAGCCGAGAAAATTTAGTAATTCTGTTTGACAAGTCGAAACACGTTGCAGAAGTGGCTTGGTGATAACGGCTCGAAAAACTGGGTCAACGCCTTGAACGGAAGTTACTTTATTTACGGTCCATTGACCGGCTTAGTGACTTCATTTGGTTACAAAACTTTTGAAATAGTAAACTTTGAACCTTGCACCTAAATGAGTTCACCACCAAACGTGACAGAAGCAACAGCTTGTCGACAAATCAGTCGGATTTGCCGAGGGATGATGGCCAACAACTCTCTAGTGAAACTAGGACTGTTCGTGGTTCTGGGGATATTTTTGTCTCTGTATCTGGGAGTATCAGCCCTGCCTACTGTTGGAATTGTGTTTTTAATTTACCTTGTCACTGGAGGCTGGCAGTTCACATGGATTGTTTTAAAGACCCTACCCAGGGATTTCAGGTAAGATAGGGCCCACAAGCAGTGACATTGCCCTTTCTAGCAGATAAGGGTTTTATGAATGGGGAAAATGTCCATGGCTAATGGCTGTTACTGTAGCCTAAGGCCAAGGGCTAGAGAAAAAATATATGGCTATTATTTAATGAATTCTCACAAACTGTAGGTAGATGCATTAGGGGTTTTTGAATGGGGACAAAGTCCATTAACTCTGTAACTTGTGTAAGGTTAGAAAAATATAAAATCATGGAAAACAAACAACAAATCTAAATAGTCCTACATTTAAATTTCTGTCATTGTGCCAACATCAATATTGTTATGGTAACAATGTATTTAGCACTCCATTGTGGTATAGTAGCTTAGCTGATGCTCACCGGTAGGCCTAAGCTTATAGTATGGCCTTGAAATACAAATTTAGATAAATCAAGGGGTAGTACCCCTGTAACCCCAGCAACCCCCCCACCATTTACTCTTTTTCGTCCAAGACTATCAATGAGTATTAATCAAGGTTATCAACTAGACAATAATGATGTAAAGAGAAGGTCAGACAAGCCTGTAATCAACAGTGACCCCTAGGTTAATGATAAACTTCTATAATTAGTCCTTGAATACTGACTGATATCATAAAACATGTTACATTTATAGATCAATCAGAATATTGTATTTTCACTGTAGTTCTCATCATTTGTACAGCAATAACCTTTATAAATATTAAAACAGAACCTGAAACATGTTGTTATCAGAGGTTCAGGCTGTGTAACCTAACAAGACATATTTCAGCAAAAAATATAAGTACCATGAGTTAGTTTTTACAGTGCAGTGAGTGCACCATTTTTTTTATCCAGAAAGGTCTTGCAAAACTAGGGCCATGTGTAAGAGAGTTTCACGATTTAAAAGATATATGATACATATCACAGTTGAAGTGTTATGATAGGTACCGATAATACAATATGGGGTTGGTAATAAATAAAACGTTAATAGTAACCCTATCTCCAAAGTGTCAATAAATTTGTAATACCAGTACCAGATAAGAAAAACATGCTATCAATTGTTGTGTTGATAGGCGTAATACTGTGTTGAATATGTTCACAATTTCTGCATTTGAAAAACATCTTCATGACACAAATTAGATACATAAGAGTAGGACGTTAAACTCCATTCATTTCATTTTCATTTAGAAAGCATTTTAATGAATACATATTTGGCTTGTATGCCTGGTGTCTTAAAGTATCTACACAACCAAGCAATATAATAAGCTTATGCGTAGCGCTATATCAGTTCTCAGATATCATATCAGCATATATTTAAATAGACTAGTTCACAACTCAATATTCACCAAAAACTTCAGACATCTGTACAACTTCAAACAAAGCCTTATGTCTGGCAAGTTCATTGAAATTTTAATCAAAATCTTTTGAAAAGATTTACATACTGACACTGAGAATCCTCCTCAAGATGAGAAAAATTCTGATGCCTGTGCTAGTGCTTCTGAGAGTCAGCCCAGTGTCAGCTTTCAACCTCGAATACTAAAACATCTGTATTTCCTATTTTTCAGGGGCCTGATGTTTTTAATCAAGATGAAGCTAGACATCAGTCATTACAACAAATCAAATTTTACCATTGGAAAAATCTTCGAGAGTTTAGTCAAAAAACATCCAGCAAAACCATGTTTTATTTGTGAAGACACAACATGGACGTACCAAGATGTTGACAACATTACGAACCGTATCGGAAACTATTTTTACGAAGCCGGATATCGTAAAGGTGATATGGTGGCCTTGTTTATGGAAAACCGTCCGGAATATGTGTGCATATGGTTAGGACTGTCGAAGATTGGCGTGTCTGCTGCGTTAATTAATTTCAACCAACGTGACATGGCATTAGTTCATTCTATCAATGTCAGTAACGCCAGGGCGGTGATATTCGGTGGAGAACTCTCTCAAGGTTTGTTGGTTATTTTTAGTAAGGGGCCAGGTTTGATTCCCCTTCCCTTATTTTACTTATGAAAACCCCCTTCTCCACCCGTAGACACATCACTGGTTGAAATTCCCCCAAAATATGGTTTGAAGAGGAAAGATCAAATTTTTTTATTAGTTAATATTGGGAATGCACATGGTGCTGGGAGCTTCCCTTGACGATTCTGTTGCTGATAGAGCAGCTGCTAGTTTTATAACGGTTAAAGATGTGTTTTTCCACATACCTATTTACTCCATCATCTGTTGTTTCCAGTTCTGGTAACCTTGACAGCACCTTCATTAACATGCATCACAAAATCCATAGTTTATTTCTTCAAGGAGTATCCATCTTTAATTTTTCTTCCTTTTTTTTGCAGCAATTAAAGATGTGTTACCTCAGTTATCTAAAACAATTCAACTGTACCATTCGGGACCTCTCAATACCAATGATATCACGCCAGTAGATCTTGACGCAGCCTTAGTTCGTACTTCCTCCTTCCCTCCTCCCAAAGTTCAGCAATCTTTCAAAGGTAGGTCTGAATCTGAAAGAAAACATACACTTAAATTAGCTAGTACAATCCAATCAAATAGCTGTATTTAGTAATACAAGAAAGGTGAAGTTGTGATACAGTCAAGAAGTAGTTTGTAATAACTTGACATTGGGAAGATGTGATACAAGAAAGGTGGCTAATGCAGTCAAGGTATAGGATCAGTTCATTATAGCTTGTCATTGTGAAGATGACAAATATGGACAATTCCAAGAATTTTATAAAGAAAAGTCATATAGTCTATTTATTGTTTAGCATCTATTATGGCAATTTCCTCATGCACACTGCACAGGACTGCATCAATAAAACATAACTCTCAGAAGAAGCCATTTGATATATGAGAAATATCTTGACTATGATTTGTTATTTTCAGATTGTTTATTCTATATCTATACATCTGGTACAACAGGGTTACCCAAGGCAGCAGTGGTTTCTCATACCAGGTAAGAGTTAAAATCTCATAAAGGCATTGACTCAATCAGTGGATTTACACCAATCATAGGAGCAGGCATTCTGTGCAGCCACAGTAACTCAGTGAGTTAGAAGCGTACTCACAACCCTGAAGGTCCAGGGTTCAATCCCGACATGGGGATTTTTCAACAGTTTGGGAAGGGCTGACATACAAAAAGCGTCAAATACTTTGGGCAATAAACTAAGGTCCCTGTGCTTCAAAGACCCCTCTACATTTGGACATAAAAAAGAGTAGGCTAATACAGCTGTCGAGGCAAAATTACACTCATTTCCCACTGCATGACTTTGCCTGTCTTCGTTAACACCATCAAACACAGAAAATAGGACATAAAGATCAGTACAGTTGGATAAAGAAAATAGGCAAGACAGCCAAAATTTCCCTCATTGCAAACTGCTTGGCCGTACCATCATCACTAGAATACTAAGGTACAGAACAGTAGGGTGAAACTTCCGTTTCTCTTCAGATATTACTACATGACGATGGGTGTGAGATTTTTCTTCAAAATAACCGGTGAGGATGTGTTATATGATACCCTCCCTCTTTACCATACAGCTGGGGGTATACTGGGCACAGGGCAGGCAGTACTCGGAGGAACTACCCTCGTCATCAGGAAGAAGTTCTCTGCCAGTCAGTTTTGGAACGATTGTATCAAATATAACTGCACTGTAAGTAGTCTTTGCAAAATATTTGAAACCACAAATAATGGAAATCAAAAAGTAGAAATTATACATTGGATAAAACAGAACAATAATGGATATATTACTCCTCTCTGAGACCCAGATGTTAGAGTCAGTCGGAAAAAAGTGAAGGATGATACCTTAAGATGTTGCTCGTGGTGGTTAGCCTAATGAGGTTCAATAAAGGAGGGTGTGAAAACTCCATTTCATTTGGGTAAGTAGGACATTATTCAATTCAATGACATATTTTTGACATTTAATTCCTATTTTTCCAGGTAGCACAGTATATAGGAGAAATATGTCGTTATTTATTGGCCCAGCCTGAGAAACAGACAGATCTCCATCATAAAGTACGTCTAATGTTCGGAAATGGACTACGTCCTCAAATCTGGCGAGAATTCCAGGAACGATTTGGTGTGGAAGTAATGGGAGAATTTTATGGTGCTACAGAAGGCAATTGTAATATAAGTAAGTTTTTGATACAAATTAGTGTTTAAGAAAATTTTAAAGTCACGATGGGAACCGCAGAAAGAATCTCGTAAAATAACAGTTTGGCAAAACATTAGTAGCAGCAAATGAACTATTCATATGAGGAAGTATATCAATCATAAATGAGAAAGTATTTCATAATGGAAAGCGATATCAGGTGTCTAGAAGAGTAAGCATTCCCTGCCTGGTACTACAAACAGTTATTCGGTTAACTGAATTCCAACCCTGCCCCCTTCCAAACAGCAAATTAGTTATCTGAATCCCCCCACCCCCTATCTTTGCTATCAGCTTTCAGAAAACTTAACTCAAAGTGAATAAACAATTTACAGCTGCAACAATGGAACCTTATGAAGGTTACTTATTTAATAAGACAGGTTCTATTTGTTTAATCATCAGATGAAATGTGTTTGTATATTTTAGTAAATTTTGAGAATAAGGTAGGAGCTGTAGGATTTTTAACTCGTATTTTACCATTCCTGTATCCTGTTACATTAATCAGAGTTAATGAACAAACTGGAGAACCTCTCAGAGATAGAAATGGTCTATGTATATTCGCTAAACCAGGTTAGTGAAGTCAACATTTTTCATTTTTGTGCTCCCGAAAAAACAATGGACCACCAATGATAACACAAACTTGACAAGAAGCAAGAATGTGGCTCGATCTTGCAATAATCACTTGTTTGTTTCTCAGATTTTAACAATACACCATAGCTAGTAAGATTGAGCAATGTCTCCTTTAAGTTTTATTATAGATCCTGCTGGAAATCCTGCTTGAAGAATAGAGGGAATTTGTACTGAACTGTTGGTTATATTTTTCAGGAGAGGCCGGAGAATTGGTAGGTAAAATAGTAAAAGGCAATCCCCTACGAGAATTTGATGGCTACGCAAATAAATCAGCCTCACAGAAAAAAATAGTTTATGATGTTTACAGGAGAGGAGACAGTGGCTTTCTGACAGGTAAGTGAAAATGTATATAGTCCTTTGAATGGGACAATAAACATACCCTGTGTGAAAAGCTGTTACAGATTTTCTTTTATCCATTATGTACAGAACTTGCATGGAAAAAGCAATCTAGGCCCTGTGTACTTCAGGCTGTGCATTTGAAAGATTCCTTGACAAAATTTCCCTCGTTGCAAACTGAATGTCTTTTGATGTATTACATTTCCACTGAAGTTGAGCACCACTGCAAGATTTGTATAATTTGTTTGTGGTCTGAAGGTGAGTAAAGTGTGTTATTTCCCTTTGTATGTATCTTTACAGGTGATGTCTTGTCTATGGATCAATATGGTTACATGTATTTCCGAGACAGGACAGGTGATACATTCCGTTGGAGGGGTGAAAACGTGTCCACGTCTGAAGTTGAAGCTGTGATACATAATATAGTCAAATTACAAGATGCTGTCTGCTACGGAGTAGAAATACCAGGTAGGTCATAGGGGTTGAAAGGTTGAAAATCGATATTGGGACGACATTTAGGAGCACTTGTCATGTAAGAGTTAAACTAGCCTTGAGGAAGATTCAAACCCACAGCACCTTACCGCCTTGCAGATCGCTACTGATTCAGTTAATAGGGTCGTAAACAGACATGGTCAGACTTACAGAAGCACTGACAGATATTGAAAGAAGAGTAGACTAATGCAGCTGTCCTGGTAAAATTTCCCTCATTGCTAACTGCATGGCGTTGTCCATCTTCATTAGCCCATAAGGTGCTGAATAGTAGGAGGTAAAACTTCATTCATTTTATTTTATTTTCTCTCTCAGGAATAGAGGGTAGAGCAGGAATGGCAGCCATTGTAGATGAGAATAATACGGTAGATGTAAATGTTATAGCTGAAGGATTAAAACGATCTCTACCACCGTATGCTCGGCCAGTGTTTCTACGGCTAACTAAATCAGTTTCTATGACAGGTAAGTGATGATATTTTTGTCCATAGTTGCGTATCGCACCTCGGTGGCTAAGCAAATTGGGAAGGGATTAGGGTGACTAACTATTCAAATTGTTTAATTAAAGCCAATGCACTGACATGAGCAAAATGGTCCTGATAAAATCTTAAAAATACACCTAGGCCAATGTTTTTATAAACAGTGTTTTTTTAAATCATTATCTATGACAGGTAAGAGACTACCTGGAAGAAATTCCAGGGGCATTTGAGGAGTGAGAAACTTTTATATTTTGAGCCAGAAATTGGGTCATGCAGCGCTATCATTACAATTTAAATCCCTCTCATTCTTTAAGTTCTATGTGTAAAAAATACCATTTCCCTTTTATTCTGAAGTTTATTCTTGTCTTTGGAATCTCAAACTTTCCTCATTTTCCTTTCAGGTACCTTTAAATTAAAAAAAGTAGATTTAAAGAAAGAGGGCTTTAACCCGGAAGTGAAAGATAAAATATTTTATTTAGACTCAAAATCGGGGCGATACGAACAAGTGACACCTGCTGTTTATCACGGAATCTGTTCGCATAAAATACGACTGTGATTACTGGTTGTTCTAGACTATTTATATACATATAGACTCTCTCTACATGCCTCTAAAATTATATTCAAATGTTGCTGGGATTATTGGTTGTTCAAGACTATACAGTAGACTCCATCAACATGCCTCTTGAATCAAATGCTTCGTTGAATACTGGTTGTTTTGGAATATTTGTTATTTATATAGTCTCTGTCTACATGCTTCTCAAACTAAAAATATGTATCTCCATGATGACTGGTTGTTCTAGATTATTTATAAACATTTAGCCTCTCTCTTCATGCCTCTCAGCTAACAATTTGTGTTTGTTCAAATCTTATTGGGACTATTTGTTCAAGACTATATAATATAAAGATTATAAACCTTTGCTATGGTAGACTCAACCAACATGCCTCTTGAACAAAATGGTATTTTTGGCATTAATGACCGTTTAAAAGTATTAATATAAGGGCATCTTTCAGAATATCTGAAATGTGTGAGAGTGTGTTTCTAGTGTGTTTTTATTAATTGTGTGACAGGCTTATTTTCTTATTAAAAAAAAGTGTGTTTTTATAAGTGTGTGAAATTCAATGAAATGAATGGAGTTTTACGTAGCTAATGAAGACAGACGACACCATACAGTGAGCAATGAGAGAAATTTTGCCAGGACAGCAACATTAGCCTACTGTAATTTGATGTCAACTTTCATGGGATCTGTAGCACACAGGGCCTCGGTTTAACGCCCTATCCGAACGACTAGAGGTTTTCCATGTCAGTGAGTCAGGGATCTTTAATGTGTACAGCCTGTAGCACACAGGGACCTCAGTATATGTGTGTCAACTGTCAAGGGATCTTGAACGTGCATGGCCTGTAGCACACGAGGCCTCGATTGGTTTAAGTGTGTCAAGGCTAGTTGAATGAATTATTGCTACTAAACCAACACTTAAAGATGTAACTATGCAAACCATGTTTTGAAGATAACCTTCATGTTTCTAGGTTATGTTCAGTTTTTATGATGTAAAAATGATACGTTGCTTGTTTAACAAGAAATGGACATAGCTACCAACAACATCATTCCATTACTTAAAAATTTGAGTTATAACATGTTTCAGGTTCTGTTTTAATATCAATATTGTGGTTAGTATGGTATTTCTAAATGTAAAATTCAACACTTCCTTTAAAAATGAAAATTCATATCCTAAGATTTTTTGAGGAACAGGCCCTGATCTACCCACCATTACAATATACAGTATATCTGTATGAAAGGTTATTAATGTTGATTGTGTATATGCTAATATTAAAAATATATTCTATGCTCTGATTTCTGGGGGTTTTTTTTTGGAATTGAAACAAAAAACTTGAATAAATAAACCAAGTACTAACGATATCCAAACCACAAAACGAAAACCAAAATCCAAACAACATATTGGTGAATCATAAGTGAGTAAGTATTTCATAATGAAAAGTGGTATCAGGTGTCTATTTTTATTTAAGAGATAACTATTTTATCTTTCCTTAAATATCGCCTTCATTTGCTGATCAAGATTATAACCCATGACCACTATTAGTTCAATGTATCAAGCAGTTGGTCCAATGACACTTTTTTAGTGAGGACTCCATCTTGAATTTAATTCACTATACACTATATTAGTATTCGTTTATATTTTACATTATTTAAGAAAGGCGTATCCCATGTTAACAGTTTTCATTTTATAAATTACAGCAATAAACTACAAACTTACTGAGACGTCAAAACCCTCCTATTAAAATATAAACAACTATAAATTTTACTTGAACATAAATTTAGGAATTTGCTAAAAACTTAGTGTCGTTTTATGCAAAGTCCATTTGGCATTTACAACTAACAAAGTGTTATTTTGTTGATTTCATTATGGTAATGTGTTTTTCTTATTTCATATTTGAAAATGTCAAAAATGCAAATGTTCTTGCTTGAATATCATTTCCTGCTTAAAGGGACAGGTGTGCCATTTTTTTACTTTAATCTCAGCAATGGAATCTTTTAGCTAAGCTCATTGGTAATAGTGTCCACAGCTCACCATCGAAATTTGAGCTTTCAAATCCATGTTTGAATGTTAAAATGAGGACTTGTCAATTACAAATACTTTCCTTGCTATATGTGCTTGAATGATGTAGAAATTTATTTGCAAATATAGCGAAAAACATAAGTGATAAATATTCTTTTTTTTCAAATACAACTTTGTCAAAAATGCAAATATATTCTGATGTTATTATGATGAATTTTTAAACTTTATTTGAAAATGTCAAATGTCATAACAGCACATATAAAAAATTGTCAAAAATACTAATATATCACAAATACACAGTTTTTTTCAAAAATGTATTTTTAGAATAAACATTTGCATTTTTATCCTATTTTCAAAAAAACTAAAAAAAAAATCTGAAAGAATTTGATTTTAATAAAAAAAATACACCTTTTATCAAAATTGGACTTAAAATTGCATTAAAAGATAAGAATGTTGGAAGAATTTGCTAAAATATGCAAATGAATTGCATCAGAGTGACTCCAATGTGGTGAGCACGAATTTCGAAAATTTTATGCAGACATTAAAGTCAACCATAATAATGTTTACCTGGCTTTTTCAGCATTTTATCTTCCAAAAACAATGACTTCATTGTTAACATGTGGACACTATTAAATTTTACAGGTTTTTTCCTGTCTGTTTTATAAAAAACACATCACTGTCATAATTACAGTTGTTTCTCATTAATTTTCTTACTCCATTTCACACGTCAAAATTTTGTAACTGGTGAAAAAAAATACAATGAATAAACACAGTACAAAACAATAACAAACAAAACCAAGTGCAATTCAATACAATACGGAGACATCATTGATGCGATACAACTCTTAACAACTCCAATTCAACAACATTACAACATCATTTCTGCGATACAACTCCCAGCAACCTCAATACAACAACATTACAACATCATTGCTGCGATACAACTCCCAGCAACCTCAATACAACAACATTACAACATCATTGCTGCGATACAACTCCCAGCAACCCCAATACAACAACATTACAACATTGCTGCGACACAACTCTTAACAACCAAATACAACAACATTACAACATCATTGCTGCGATACAACTCTCAACAACCTCAATACAACAACATTACAACATCATTGCTGCGATACAACTCCCAGCAACCCCAATACAACAACATTACAACATTGCTGCGATACAACTCTTAACAACCCAAATACAACAACATTACAACATCATTGCTGCGATAAAACTTTCAACAACCTCAATACAACAACATTACAACATCATTGCTGCGATACAACTCTCAACAACCCCAATACAACAACATTACAACATCATTGCTGCGATACAACTCTCAACAACCCCAATTCAACAACATTACAACATCATTGCTGCGATACAACTCCCAGCAACCCCAATACAACAACATTACAACATCATTGCTGCGATACAACCCAAATACAACAACATTACAACAATCACCAACAACAGATTAGTACAAAGTACACAACTAAAATTTATACATACAATGTAAATTGTAATGTATACACGTATAACCTTATCACAGACCTCATAATTTATATATTAAAACAATTAATATTGTTGGGAGTGGCTTGCACTTTAAATTATAACGTCTGTAATATTTCATTTTTTATGCATAACCCCATGAATAACTCCATGCATAACTCCAATCATCTCTATGCGGGATTATTTACTACTGAAACTACCCTAATAATTCAAAACAATGTAGGTGACGTATAAAAATTTGCTGACAAAATTTTTATCCATGTCCAGACAAGAGATTTATGTAACTGAAATAGGTCAACCGTGCATAACATGTGCTCTATTTATAAAAAAAAAAATGAGCTCTTCCACATGAATGACAATGAAATAGCCAACCGTGCATTACCTGCTCTTCCTTAATATAAATGAACTCGTCCGCACGAAAAGTCAAACCGTGCAGTACGTGCTCTCCATTAATATAAATGAACTCATACACACAAACCGTGCAGTACCTGCTCTCCCTAAATGTAAATGATCTAGTCCAGTGAAATAGCCCAATCCGATCGTGCATTAAAAATACTCTTCCTAAATATAAATAAACCTATCCACGTACAGTACGCCTGGCAGAGTAAGTGCGGAATATTTCCCCGACTTTCTTATTCCCAGAGAGATGAAAAGAGAATCTGAGAAGCCGCCATCCATCATAAATTAGGCCTAGTTTGTCCACCTCACTCTGGCCCACGGCCATAAATATCCTAGTGTATGGAATTTATCTTGTTTTGACCCAAAACTGTCCCAATTTCGACCTAACTTAGAACAAGTTTGTAGAAAAATTTGCGACAAACAGATATATTATATTTTAAATGTAAACTTTGGTGAATAAAACTTGAAATATTTTGTTCGGACTCATTTGCACTTAAAGGGGCAGTAGGCAAAAATTTTCATTATCAACAAATCCGTATTCTAACAACCCACCCACCTTCTCCCAATCGCTCATCCATACCTTAGACCTTGGATATCATTCCAAACTTTAAAAAAAATCATGAGAGATTTCGACATCCATGACAACTTCATGATAAAGACGGCCAATCTCTTACGTCATTTCTCCAAAATCGTGCTTTTTCATCGTTTGATTTATTCCAAACAAGTCCGCCCTTTGTCAGGCTTCGAATTAAAGAGTCGTAAATTGGAGCGAAAATGACAGGCGACAAATTATGTAGATTATCGTCTGTCCAACTGACCAACAGACAGTTAAATATCGGTCAACTAGACTTGACATGTTGGTCACTTCGCGTAATGGTGTCTGCTATATATAAATTCACAAACTGAAGTCGACCCAAGTAGGCCTACATGGGCATATTAATGAAGCCCTCTCCCCCTACATTTTCCCAATTTCCATGTAAAGGTTTATCCTAGACACTAACTGCAGTAAATAATTACTCGTACAGCAAAAATCAATTTTGTTATACTGTAAACAACCGTATCAACTGACAACAGTCAGAACAGATGTATGACATACCAAAAGTGCATGTTTCGAACACAGGTCAAGGGTGGGCTCTTGTACAGAGACGATCACCCTTGACCTAAACATAAGGCTACAACAAAATTCAATTGTGACCAGCAAAAAGAACTCCATTACTAAAAATAGGGTGGGATTTATTTGGGTACAAAATTCCTTGGACTAGTAATTTTTGACATTTCCTCGTGTTTTGGACAATGTCAATCCATCCATCAATCTTATTGTTACAAAATACATTTTTTCACCTTGAAACAGGTGTCGCTGGATTGTTCATGGCGACGATACAATGGTTAAAGGTATGAAGGGCTGGCGCTGACATGCAAACAATGTCAATTCGTTCAGATGAAACTATGAACCAAGGCTCTGTGTTTCAAACTGTGCATGTTAAAGATCCCCGACAGTTTGGAACGCGATAAGAACCAAACTCGTATCAATAAGTACTTAGATTTAGCCTTCTGTTCAAACGACTTCAAACAACAATACTTCAGGAACCACAACTCACCGCAGTCACGAGAGACTTGAAATGATTTACGACTTGTTATTCTAATTTTAAGGTCATCATTTTAAAACCTTTCTAGAATAAAAACATAATTTTATGTTGACAAGTAAACGATGTCAGGTGTTAAGATGAGTTTATCGTTTTTACACCTGGATGGTTTAAATACATAACATTATAACATAACACTACATATATATAACATTATCAGAAACCCGAAAACTCAGAACGCACACCTGGCTGGACGGCATTTCCCACCTATAAAGTTGTCATATAATTGTCTGTTTGTCACTAATATTTAGAAGTTTTCAGGTGACTCATTCTCAACATCCGATGACGTTATCCGATGACGTCATTACAAAAATATGACGTTGACATCACTAAAATATGATGACGTAAACCTGCCAATATGATGACCTAACTCTGACTAACGTCACTTAAATGGTTTCACTTCTATGATGACGAATATCACTAATATGATGACGTTATCTCACAAATATGACGACGTTATCTCACTAATAAGACGAATTTACCTAACGTTATCTATTCAATATGAGAACGAGAAAGTTATCTCGTCAATTAAAGGACGTAATAAATTGATACGTTCGTTTTGTGTCAGTTTTCGGTCGTGTTCCTTTTCAATGAATTAACCAATTTACAAATACACCAAATAACATCCTCGTCAATTTTAACGCCACTTGAACTTCCCTAACAAAAAACCAAACGGGTGAAAATTGTCAGAAATATGATATATATTACAATAT